ACACCAGCACCAACATCGGCGGTGTGCCTCCACCGAGGGAAGGAGATCCCGATCTCGGTAAGGGTGGTAATGTTCTGGCTTCCAAGATGACCGAATTGTTACCACCAACACCGAAATCTAGGATCATCTTTCCCCTGTGGAGGCAAACCCCTGCGTTGGTGTTGGTGCTCATTTCCAGGCCTCCACTGCTTGCCCGGGGCGTGCCCTCTCGGAGAGGCTGCTCCGTCTTTGCCCCACCCTGGCTCTGTTGGCACGCACGTGATTCGACGAACATCGAAGGAGGAAACACGCCAAGAACAGAAACTTTTGGCGCTCCGCGCAGATTTCTTGAATCTGCGCTGGGCCCCCCCGGCGGCGCCTCCGGCGCCGCCCCTGGCGCGCTCCGCGCGCCAGGGAAGGGGGTCCAGCGCAGATCCAAGAATGCGCGCGGACCGTCGAGAGTTTCTGTTTTTTTGTGCTTCCTCTATTATGGCGGCTTCGGCTTTCCGCCGCCCTGGTGTTGATGACGTGCACGCGTCTGCTATTCCCGAGGTTCTGGCTTGATGCTGCCCTCGGTAGCCAAGGTGAGGCTTTGACAGGTTACTTGGCACTGACTCGGGGGAACAGCAAAAGGACCCTAGGCGAGGCGGGAATTTATCCATAACCACCGCCTGGGGGCTCGATCTTCGCGGACCTCCACAAGCGGTAGATATGGAGATACTCGGCCCCAGGAGCCAAAATATTTCCATATCCACCGCCTGCCGGAGCACTATGACGTCGGTTCCCAGGCGGTGGATATGGATAAATCCCCGCCTCGCACCCCAGGGGAGACGAGGGCGTTGACATCCAAGCGACCCTGACGCGGGATGCGGGAGGCCTTGGCGGTGCTTAGGGTGCCGTCCTTGGGCACAGCAAGAGTCGGGAAGAAACCGCCACCACCTTCCTAATTACCCCCAGAGGGCCCGGAACCCCCAAACAGGGATAGTTTCTTCTACAAGAGCTGATTCTGCTGCCCCGGTAACAAAAAACAGATGTGTCGTCACTTCACTCGGCGCCATGTCGGGGGGGGGGGCCGCAAACGATCCCTAGACGAGACGAGGGCTTGGGTGACGTGGGGGGGGGGCTTGAGGAAGGCACCAAGAAGGCGAGCCAAAACGTGGACGATGGCGAACTCCCTGGAACGCAGACTGCCAAGGGTAGTGCGCTTGATCATGAGCCAGGTGCGCCCGTGTCTGACAGTGGTGTCGATACTTTCCTGGGCGCCGCCCAGGGCGGGCCGTGATCCCTCGACACCGCTGCCTGTGACTTTTCGTCGCCCTGCTCCCACGGTTTCGAACCCTGGCCAAAGCTCTCGCCCCACCGACGCCCTTGACCCTGGAAGAGTTGACCGCCGCGCAGGCGAACACTCTGGCCTCGCTGCCCCTCGAGTCCAGCAGAGCCTGGTTGCGTCCTGGCGCCTCTTCTACGAGTAGCGCCTGTCCACGGGAGGTGCCGGTGTCAGCAGAGCGTCGTGGCCGCGGATAGCGGCATTCCTGGTGACATTTGCGGCACTCCAGAGCCCGATGCCTTTTTCCACGAGCACCCTTCCCCGAGGCACACCGACGCCCTTCTGGCGCCGGAAGTCGAAGTCACGCACCACGAGGGCGCGGCGATCCACAAGTCGCCCGCCTTGGCTTCGAGCGTCGCCGCTGCCGCGTCCCCTGACTCCTGGGGGCGCGTGCGGATCACTGACGGCCGGGTCATCCAGCCGCAGCCGGTTGCCCAGACGCTGCGATTGCGACCCACGCCGGCGGCTCGCACGGCCGTTGCTATCTCGCGAGCCTATATGCTTGCCGCTGCGCCCAGTGGGCGGCGAGCCGGGCCGCCAAGGGATCTTGCTAGCGCCCATCGAGGGCGAGAGCCAGCGCTCTGCGCAAGGCGCGGCCGAGGCGGCCCAGGACGAGAATGGCGGCGTGGCGGCCAGCATCGGCGATGAAGACAGGGGCATCGGGGGGGATCTAGGGCGGAGGTTGCGCCGGCGCACTGGAGGCCGGTGTCGTTGCAGCCTGGCCGGCCCTCCCCCCGAGGTGGGGGTGATGGGTGTCGCGGCAGCGTGGAGGCCGAGGGAACCCACGACGGGGCGGCGGACGGGGCTTGGGGAAGCGGCGCAGCGGGGTCGTTCGAGGCCAACGCGGCGGAAGGCCGAGGGAGGGACGCGAGCCGCGACGACGGGAAAGCGCACGCCACCTGGGCTCACAGCACGGCATCGTCCCCCCCCGCCCCTCGTTGACCGGCACGGCTGGGCCGACAGTTTCGCGAGTCGCCAGTCAACCTGCTTTGCTCTCGGGGAGCCCATAAGTCGCCGAGCGCGTTCCACTACTCGCAAAGTGTCTACTCTCAAACGTCCGTCTGCTTTGACGTAATTTATCGTAGATCCTTGGCGGGGGATCCAGGCCATTCGCGATTAGTTACTTTGCGAGCAGTGGAACGCGCTCGTCGAATAAGTGGCCCGGCGTGTGGGACAGTGGGCAGGAACCCTCACCTTTCGGTTGTTGGCAGGCTCCGCGCGAGGCGGCGTCGCACGGCGGCTCGGTGCGTTGCTGAGTCTCGCTCCTGGGGTGGCCTTCGCCTGGGTCCCCTTCTTCTCCTCCCCTCCGCCGACGCCTCCTGGCGTTGGCGGTCGGCCAGCTGCCTTCAGGGGCAACCATAGGGGGGGGATAGGCATAGGGGGGGATGCATCGACCCCCAATCGCCCATTCATCGCCGATAGGGGCCCGATAGCCCCAACCTGCCCAGGAAGGTGCGGACTCACGATCGGAGGCCTATCGTCGATCTATCAGCGATGTATCGCCGATTCCAGGTCGATGCATCCCCCCCTATGCCAGTCCCCCCCTATCGTTGCCCCTCACCCCCGCCGGCGCCTCCTGGCGTTGGCAGTCGGCCAGCTGCCTGGCCGCAGCCTCCAGGCTGCCCCGCACTGCGCGGCCTGGCCTGGCGCTGGTGCTCTCGGCAGGGTCGGCTCGGCGTAGTCGCCGTCTCCACCAGGTTCCGCCTTCCGAGTCGTGCTCATTCTGTCCACAGCTTCTTCCCCGGATACTGCAGTGGCCTCCAGCCAGTGCCGCCGATCCGGGAGGGTGGGATGCTTGTGCGACAAAGGAATGTGCAGGCGGCAGTGGGCTACTCCTTTCTCGCCTTTCTTTCTTGCCCCGTTCCCTTTCTCCCTCTTCCTTCCCCTCCCCCCTCCCGTAAACGGCGCACGGCTCCCCCTGAAAGCGGAGCAACGGCAGAGCACAGGCGTGGCAGAGGGGGTCCCCCCCCCCTTTCCGTGGCAGAGCCACCCAGGCAGCCCCCCCCCACCCCCAGCTTCCCTGGATATTTCCTGGATATTTCCTGTGACGCTCCCTGGGAGCTGCTATGGCTTACAGTCAACCCGCATACTAAGGATGGGCAGCGTTCCCAGGAGGATCACTGCGTCACTGCCTCCTCGGTTCATTCTCGGCCACTTCCGTTGGCCGCGCCCCGCCCGAGAATCTTCGAAATGGGCCTCCAAGGCTCTTGCATCCTTATCGCGCATCTTTATGATACGGGCCGGCTGCATGCATGCATGCATACATACACACATACATACACACACATACATACATACACACACATGCATGCATACATACATACATACATACATACATACATACATACATACATACATGCATGCATGCATGCATGCATGCATGCATACATACATACATACATACATACATACATACATACATGCATGCATGCATACATGCATACATACATACGTACGTGCGTACGTACATACATACATACATACATGCATGCATACGCGCATGCCTACATATATACATACATACATACATACATACATACATACATACATACATACATACATACATACATACATACATACATCCATACATACATACATACATACAAACATATATACATACATAAATACATACATAGATACATACATACATACATATATACATACATACATGCATACATACATACATACGTACAGGCATACACGCATACATACATACATACATACATACATACATACATACATACATACATACATACATACATACATACGTACATGCAGATATACATACATGCATACGTACATACATACATACATGCATACACACATTCATACACACATACCTGCACACGTACATGCATACATGCATACATACATGCATACACGAATACATACGTACATACCTATATATCGGTATATGTATACACACATAAATACATTTGTATGTATATACATGTATCGCTAAATAAGATCTCCAGTTTGCAGTTCGCGTGCAACATTACATGATGTCACGATGATCGTGATTCGTTGTTTTACCCAGTTCCCGATCTAGAGCACTTTGTACCTTATAAGTACGTCGGGCTCCACAGAGCAAGAGGACTAATCATCACGTTGTGCCGAACATGTTGCAAAGCATGCTCAGTTGCTGGACCCGCATAGGCCAGGGGTTCACAGTGGTAGTCGTCGGCCAGCGTAGCTCGGCATGCTCATTGGTGATCCATGGACCTCGGAGACCCTTACAAGTCTCACATAAACTCTTTCAGACAGCACTTGCCGTTCTAGCCGGCCTCAGCACGCCACGGGAGCGCGCATGCGGACAGAAGCGTTGCACCTAAAGTGCATCGGCGATGCCAATTCTTCTGCCAGGATCGCTAGATAGGGCTTCATAATTTGGGCTCGTACCCCTGAAGGGTACACATGCGTATATACTTACTCCTGCTCCTCCTGTAGTCAAAGTTTCTGATATGGCCCATGTTGCTCTCGAGACGGGTTCGATGTTCCACAGGTCCCTCCGTGGGTATTCCGCTGGTGCTTCCCCTGCATTGTTCTGCGCGGCGGTGGCCGAAGAGCGGCTCCGTCCCTTCTCCGAGAGTTCCCATGGCAAACATCTGACTGTACTACAATTCGGTGGTGTGTCGAATGTGTTGAAGTCGCGTCTTCTCCCGACCCGATCCTCCTGCCGCAAGTCCCTCCCGAG